CCATATATCCACTCTCCAGGTGTCTCTCCGGGTTCTATAACACTCTCCAGGTGCTCATCCTCTCTATGGGACTCTCTCCAGGTCCATATATCCACTCTCCAGGTGTCTCTCCGGTTCTATATAACACTCTCCAGGTGCTCATCCTCTCTATGGGACTCTCTCCAGGTCCATATCCACTCTCCAGGTCTCTCTCCGGGTTCAATATATATATCGGCAAGCCCTGAAACCTAAGGTGTGTACGGGTCAAGATCATGTGTCGAACTTGTTGGCCATGCTCTCACGAAATGTTAAAAGCCTCAACCCTCCTATATCTTACATTCCTCAGCCCTCTTAGGCCTAGAGGTTCTGTTTTAGGTCCCACAATATAAAGAATCACCCACTTGGGTCTTCAAACCAAGACTTATTCCTTAGACTGTGGATGCAAAGGCAACCGGTGAAATGATCCTAGCCCCACGGTGACCTAGGTCTACAAAACCCTAGAACTCTCAACCCCGAACCCTTTACCCTAAACTCTAAACCCGATCCCCGAACCCAAAACCCNNCCTAAACCCCGAACCCTAAACCTCCGAATCCTAAACCCTAAACCCTAAACCCCTAGAGCCCTAAACCCTAAATCAAATATCGCTAAATACAAGCTCTTTGTGAGGAAAAGGTTTCAAAGCCATGAAGCGAACAAGGTCTGGTGGCCAGAGACAGAGACTGGCCAAAGCAGAGGCAGAAGCTGCACCGGCTATGGTTCAGTCCGCTTTGACCATCTATTTGCTGGATCGCATGGCTTGGGGGTTCTTGTCACCGCAAGAGGTCCAGACCCTTGCTGCCCATGCCAAGACAGACATTGAAGCATCAATGACCTCGCCACAGCCACTGGCGGATTTGACGAAACTGGCAAGTGCTGGTAGCTATGGAGCTCATCCTAACAAGTGCTTCGCTTCGATAATGACAACAGCTGCTGCTGATGTTCGTTTGCCAAAGCCGACCCTGATCCGAGTTCCGTTTAAAGCTCCGGTGAATGAAGCGGTACAAGCCATGCATCTGCCGCATGAGCTATTCGCTGCGATCCACGACCATTATCCTGACACCTGGTCCCGAAGCATTCTTCCAGACACCCAATCTTTGGAGTCTTTTTGGGATTCTGTGGAAGGACATCCGAGTTTGACCCATCATATCACCAACAAGCCCGACTACAAACGGTACCTCATCCCTCTAGCTCTCCATGGAGATGGGGTACCGCTGACAGGACGAGGAAAGGCTTGGCAACAGGGCTTCACGAATTTCAGTTTTTACAGCTTGGTGGGTCTGGGGAGCACCAGTGAGCTTCTTTTCTATATTTGGGGGCTGTTCGACAAGCTCAAGCACTTGGAACACGAAGCGAGCTCTACACTGACCCGGGCTTTCGTGCTTCTACGGTGGTCGTTCCAAGCTTTGTTTGAAGGAAGGTGGCCGAGCAGGGATCATATGGGCAACTTGTTGTTTGGCGGATTTAACATTACTTCATTGTAGAGGGTGTGGTGTGTTTTCTTGTTTTCGGTTTTAGGGTTTATAGGGTTTAGGGCTTCGCAAAGGCAGTTTATATATGTGTAGTGTACATGTCTACATAGTTATACGGTCCTTGATAAAGTCTGTATATATGTATGGCTTCGGAGTCACCTTGAGAGCACAGTGAGGTTCCCAGCCGGCTCTGCAGCTGCGAAAAAAGCTGGAAAAGCATTGGCAGGCCCTTACTCAGCAGTGCTATTTGCATTAGTGGGCGACCTCGACTTTTATGCTGGCACGATGGGTTTGCCACGATCGTCGACGGCTTCGGGGCCTTGCTGGCTTTGTCGATGTACAAAATGGGGCATCAACAGCTGGCAAAATTTTACTGCTCATGCAAATTGGAGGGGGACCCTCTGGTCCCCAACTGCCTGGCAAGCTTGGGCAGGGAGAAGCCCCTGTGATCTGTTTCGATTGCAGTGGTTCTCGGCTTGCAACATCGCCCCAGATTATATGCACTGCAAGTATTTGGGTGCTGANNAACATGCGACAGGTTTGGACGGAGATCCAGGCAATCTATCGTTCCGAGAGCATCGCCTGTAGATACAGGTATCTCAATACAACACGAATGTTTCTTCGCAAGAACAACAGTGTCAAGCTCAGAGGGAAAGCGAGCGAGGTTCGATACCTCCATGTGCCACTATTGAAGATCTGGGAATGTCATCATGTCGCAGGTGTACTAGTGCACCGACAGATCCTTTTGGCCCTGAAGCTGAATGCGATGATTGAGGCATTATTGATCGAATACAAAGGTTACAGTGCATTGCCATCAGAACCTGCTCGACGGTTCAAGGAAGGTCTCGATGCCTTTTTGCTGCTGGTGAAGGACCTGAATGAGCACTTTTCAGACAACGATGTACCTTTGTTTAACATTACAGAAAAGCACCATTTCCTTCAACATTCTGCCATGCTCGCGAGATCTGTGAACCCAAGGCTCCTCTGGGCATTTGCAGGGGAGGATCAACAACGTCGCATTCAGAAGCTTTCGGAGACGTGCATGAAAGGACTCGGTCCAGCGAAAGCAAGTTTCAAGATCGCGACTCGGTACCGCTTGGCTTTGCACCTGCTGTTTCAGTCGCACAAGTCATGAGAAAAGCTTTTGTTGCGAATTCTGGGATCTGATGTAGACACGGAAGCACAAGAGCCCCTCCCCCTGACTCGTTCCTTCGACCATGAAGCTTCGGAGCGAATGTGTGATTTCTGCTGCCTTGCGCAACATTCATTTGCAAATCGTCCTCAGCCCAAAACCCTGTGACCCTGCAGATATAAGTCCCTCGCAAAACCGGAAGCCCTGAACAAAAAATCGAGTGTGTGTATCGCCGAGGTCATGCCAGCACGACACACAGACCTGGAAAGTCACCTTTGGAGAGAGAAAAGTGCGAGACAATCGATGTACCTTCGAGAGACCTGGCGGTTGAGGGTTGCGACTTCAAGGCTTTTTCTTNNGCCAGTCTGTTTGTGGTGGGTTGTGCACTAGGACAGGGGTTTAGGTTTAGGGGTTTAGGGTTTAGGCACAAAACGACTACAAAGATCTGAAGAATTCCTTTCCTCTATACCAAAAGACACAGAACCTTCAGAAAGATCTGAAGAATTATACTTTTTCTGTGAAAATCGGAAAACATCCAGAAAGATCTGAAGAATTATCTTTTCTTGTTAAGATGAGAAAACCTGCAGAAAGGTCTGAAGAATTATCTCTCCTGTTACACAAAGTGCGAGACGGCCAAAAACATCTGAAGAACGACTTTTCCTGTTAGAGGAAAAA